GGTTGTAACGAGTGGTTAGTTGAGTTCCTGTTGTCATTCTATCAGCTCGAACCAGTCTGCCCATTCTCCTCTGACCTCTGGCATCAACAAGGCGTTTGCGCCCACAGGACTGCCGCTCACTGGATATTTTCTCTTTTTCGGACCATTCTCTGTAAACCCTAGAGATGGTTGTGCGTGAAAATCCCAGTAGATCAGCAGTTTMTGAAATACTCAGACCAGCCCGTCTGGTACCAACCATGCCACGTTCAAAGGCACTCAAATCACCTTTCTTCTTCATTCTGATGCTCACTTTGACTGCAGCAGATTCTCTTGGCCATGTCTACATGCCTAAATGCATCGAGTTGCTGCCATGTGATTGGCTGATTCCACATTTGCATTAATGTGTAGTTGGACAGGTGTAGCTAATAAAATGTGTGTATTTTAAGGTGAATTTAAAACCCCCTGTTGTGTATTTCACATTATACACATAGGAGGAGGAAGATATTAAAACCAAGCCTCTTCAAATGTCACTTCAAGCACTCCCCTTCTGTCTCATCCTCAGCCTGCATGGACTTGAGGTAGTTTTCCACATGCTGCACTGTAGTCAAATGTTCTGCATGAGTGGGGTGGTCCAACAAGGCTGGCTATTAGGGCCTTCAGTTCTGCATGGCTTAGATGTGTTTCTGCTCCATCACACCTGATCTTAATCATTGAATTATTCTCTCAGTKCATTGTCAATTTCTAAAGAAGCCTATTAATGACCAGCAGGGAAACTCTAAAACATGCAGAATAGTGGGCCCTTAGGTGTTGGGGAGCACATCTTGAAGCAAATAGTCCGCAGCAGAGAAGGAGAAAGCAAAACTTKTAGGTTTGGTTGGCTCCCAAAGGTTGCTGCAGATACTGCTATCTTTGTATTCCCTGTTGCAGCTGCCCCCACCCGCTGCATCTCAGTTCAGGCCACTGCTTGCTCCTCTGAGGGCCTATTAGAGCTTATTTTTTGTCACCTGCTTGCATACAGGTCAGGATTATGACTGATGGAAAGAATACAGGCATAGTAATGGCTAGGTGGAATTTAACAAACTGGTTTATAAAAATATTGGGGCACAAGATGACACTGGTGACTGCCTCATGAAACCTTTCCACAGAGCTTTGAATAAATTAAAGGCTACGTTTATTAAAATGGGTCATCACAGTCAAGAGTAAAACTTTGGAACTTTTTAACAAACTAAACAGTTTAACATGAGAAAGTTTTCTTTTGGATTTTTGTCTTTCAAAGTAAATAAACATTCATATTTATAAATTAATAAAATTCTATTCAATTCAGTTCAGTTTATTTATTTAACACCAAACCACAATAATTGTTGTCTCAGGGCACTGTATACACACACACACACACACACACACACACACAAAAACAACAACTCTAAAGAAGCCAGCAGATTGTGTTGAATCTTTACTTTGTCACAGTCTCCCATTCAGAGCAGCACATTGGCGACAGTGGAGGGGGAAAACTCCCCCTTAACAGGAAGAAACCTCCAGCAGAACCAGGCTCAGGACAGGCAGCCATCTGCCTCAACTGGCTGGGTTGGGGGACAGGAAAGAGACTCAGACAAACACAGGACTGGTCCGGCTGTATTTTCTTCTGGAAGAGAAACAAAGAAAACACGTTATTGATGGAAATAATTACAATAAACATGTAGAGAAGAGAGACTAAAGAACACAGCAGAGTGAGGAAAAGTGCTCAGTTTGTGCTCCAGCAGAAATGAAGACTAATTCAGGAAACCTAAGTCTAATTATAGGATTTATCAAAAAGGAACGTTTTGAGTCTAGTCTTGATAAAGTTTGTAGGCAGGATGGACCCAAATGCAGGCAGGCAGGCAAAAACTTCAAATAATAAAAATATTTATTAAAGAAAAAAGCTGGCGTGGCAGCAATAACAAAAACTAACAACAAAAGAGGCGAGGCAAAACATAGACGCATAGGAAGAACTGAACCAAGACAAACAATGAATGGATAAAGGTAGAGAGAATGAAAACCAGTATAAGTAGTCAGAGGATAAGTGGAGAGTGGAGACAGCTGTGATGATTAGGAGTGAAGACAGGTGAGCAGAATGATGTAGAAGGTCTGAATAATCTGAGGACTGAGATGACAAGGCATAAAAAGAACACTAGAGCTAGAGCACAAGACCAGAACAGAAAACACACACAAAACACCAGGGGCCTCATGTATCAACGGTGCGTACACACAAAAACCTTGTGTACGCCATTTTCCACGCAAAACTCCGGATGTATCAAAACTCAACTGAACGTGGAAATGTGCGCAGCTCCACGCCAACTCCAGGGCTGGTGT